GGTTGACATCTGAGTGTTACCTCCAGATGGCTAAAGATAAACTGCTATTGCTGTTAGAAGACGTTCCTCTCCACAAGAACTGAGCCTAAAAGCACGTTCATCTGCTGTGGACACAGTATTACACACGGTCAAAAAGCGGACTCAAAATAACTCCGACCTTGGATGACCGTTGTAAATGAACATGCGCGAAATTATACGTTGAGGCTGTAGAAATAGCACGTGGGAGACGAGGCGCATGCCTGCATTGATTATGCTTAGAATTTCTTTTGGTTCGCCAAATCAGTTAATGCAAAAGTCAGTGTGTGTAAATGCCACAGACTGTGTCGAAATTAAATGGGAAAACTCGTTTTTAGTCACACTATGCATGCTCAGACAGTCTCCTTCCCGTCTTGTTCCCCCACTCATTCTCTTTCTCTCTTTCAGTGACGTACTTATTTTGCGTCTACAGCACCAGATGTTACGTCATCTCTGAAAGCAATGGACTTCTGTCTCATAAGAAAGTTCCAAAGTGAAATGGTTGAAAGTAAAATTTTACTTCAAGTCTAATTGCCTCCTGGTCTTGTACTACAGGTCCAGGTCATGTGTCATAATCATTAGTTTTCCACGTAACTTATTAGGCCCAGTGGCCTGCTGAGACCTCTTGACAGAATTTGTAGGATCTCCCCAAAGATCTTCGTCCATCTTGGGTTGTAACGGAGAATTTATATGGGATTCTGAAGCAGGACATTCGGGGAAAAAAACCCATTGTTCTCAGGTGTTCATACGAAAATAACACCTGGACTACGTCTGCCTAATGCCTGTTACAACAATGACATAGCAGTCGTTGCAGCAATAATTCTGGATACCTCTGTTGCCTTTTCATAATTGATGCATCTGTTATTCTCTTGGTTGGCCTGATGACGTCATTGCTAGTGATGTGACGTAAAGAAAACCTTGGGAATTTCGTTATACGCCAATGAACACATATTCCAGGCTTGTTCCAATTACATCTGTAATTTCCTACTAATTCCATGATTGATTTTACATGTAATTTCAATGCAGGTGCAGATTCTAAATAGCAGAAGCTATATTTTCACTTCGCTGGCACTTCTACGTGTACATCTACAACAGTATCAAGGACAGATAAGGTGAAAGTGGGTGTCTGGACCGGAATAGTAGATAAGTCAAACTGGTCACGGACTAGCAATTGGACACAAAAGTAGCCAACTCTCCACCTTCACTTACCATTTGAACGCCAGTCTAACTTAACTTACTTATATAACTTGTTTCTAAACACCTTTCCAATATAAATTAACCTTACGTCGGACCGAGAAGGTTAGCAAAGCATTAACAAGTGGAAAAGGAAGGTACCTGATTCCAACTTTAGCTGGTGCATGGGTTTTTGTGCTCAGAATTCTGTTCGTTCAGACAGACAATTCAGACTGTAGCTACAACAGAACCATGAAATAGGCCATGACTTCATTTTTCACCATCTGTTCGTCGTATATAAGCTTCCCCAAATATCATTCGACATTGCGGTCAACACAATGTATTTTACTAGCCTCAGCTTCTCTTAACTGGATCAGGATCAGCGCTTTTGAGCCACTTTTCCACAGACAACATAAGGGAGTCATCGTCCTCAAACTTTGTCCCACGAATGCTGTCTTACAGTTTACCGAACAGGTGATAATCTGGCTGTGCCAGATCAGGACTGTATGGTGGGTGTGGCACCACTGTCCACCTCAATATTGTGCTCGCCTCAGTGGTTCTCAGACTGACGTGCGTCTGTCAGTTGCCACGGGACCCATCTCGCACAGATCTTCCAAAATCCAAACTGTTCCAATATTCTGCACACACCGGCTTCTGTAATGTCCAGTCGGAGTGACAATTGTTTTACAGTTATGCGTCCGTCCGCGCTGACTGTGACCAGCCGCAAATCGCGAATGTTTGCATGTCCACCTTTGCCTGATGTTCTCTGTGCCCAGCGGCTAACTGTGCTGCGATAAACAGTATCCTCCCCGTACACGTGCAATCGCTTGTGGATGTTTGCCACCGTCTCTTTCTCATACACTAGGAACTCGAAAACAGTACGTTGTTCCTGACGAACGTCAGGAACAACAGCCAAATTTAACGAATGACAAACACCTGCCACTTGCGGAAGAAGGATGAACTAAATTTTAGCAGAAGCGGGACGAATGTATCTGTGTGAATAGCAACACGGTAAAATAAAAAGGAGATTTAAAAAAATACATAGTGCATTACTTTTGGAGTGACCCTCGTATGTGTTTAATTCCATCAGTATTCGTAATTATTCGGTTGGACTTCGTCTGAAATGTAAATGTTTTTAATTAAAACCACAACGTATCGGACGGAAGCAGGTTCTTTGACCATCTTAAGGTGTTTTAAATTAATTAAACAGCATAGAGACGGTGGGTAAACCCGACAGAATAATTTTTAAGATATGTCACAACATCGTAAGTAACCATTAAATTTCGATGAGGAAATCTTGGCCACGCCCTGAAGAAAACATTTATCTCAGGTTCCAGTTCTCGAAGGCAGTTCAAGTCCTGTAGTCTAGTCCACAGTGTGAGCTTCGTAAACGTTCTGTTCGTATTTTATGATTTCTTTATCGACAAAGAAAATAATACTGGTATTCATCTGATTCACTTCTTGGGGTGAATACGTTTTTCAGAACAACAAGAATGGTTATCAATTTAATGTAATTGTGACGTCCACATGCCAGTTTTTTTGCTATCTCGCTCTCTCTCTCTCACACACACACACACACTGTCTGAAGCATGCCGCGGCAAACCTTATCATGAGAGGAATAATGTAGCGCTGTTACCAAATCTTAATTTGATCTGCAAAGCCCTTTGTCGCTAACTCAAACAAACAAAACACGCTACAGAGCAACAAGGAACATCCGTAGTGTTACATGACTCAAAGCACAACGCACTCGACAGACATGTGACCGTCAGCCAATTGTGTATCGAGCGGACAGCTGTGAGTGCTATTACGAGATGTCATTAAATCCCGGAGGAATAATAGAGTTTGCTTACATAACATGAGAGGTCAGGTGAAGGCAATGGAAAGGTGGTAAAGACGGCCTCAGCACTGCTGTGTGCCACCAAATTTCTTTTGTGCCCAAAAAGGTTTTACAAAGCGAAGATTTCCGTCTTCTGGCTTGTTGCGCTGTGTAGTCTGGTCGATGTTAACCAACGTTTCAGAGGTCATACTGCCTCCGTCAGCAGGGCGATGAGTATAAAGATTTCCGTCTTCTGGGTTGTTGCGCTTTGTAGTCTGGTCGGTGTTAACCAACGTTTCAGAGGTCATACTGCCTCCGTCATCAGGGCAATGAGTATGAAGATTTCTATCTTCTGGGTTGTTGCGCTGTGTAGTCTGGTCGATGTTAACCAACGTTTCAGAGGTCATACTGCCTCCGTCATCAGGGTGATGAGTATAAGAAGATTTCTATCTTCTGGGTTGTAGTGATTTGTAGTATGATCGATGTTAACCAACGTATCGGAGGTCATACTGCCTCCGTCATCAGGGCGATAAGTATGAAGTTGTCTATCTTCTGGGTTGTTGCGCTGTGTAGTCTGGTCGATGTTAACCAACGTTTCAGAGGTATTACTGCCTCCGTCATCATCGCCTTGATGACGGAGGCAGTATGACCCCTAAAACGTTGGTTAACATCTGCCAAACTACACAGCGCAACAACCCAGGAGACAGAAATCTTCATACTCACCGCTGTGAAAACCTCAAATCTTACGTTTTACAAAGCATATTGGGTAATATAGGTATTGTGTTACGTTCTTTAGCTCACATTTAAATTCAGTGTCGATTACTCGTCCAGTGTCTACATTTTGTTCTTCTGTGCCAACTGCAGTGATGATACGAAATATTGGATTATTTTCTCGTTTCTGTAACTGTGTCCTTCGCATTTCTAATCACCTTGCAGAAGACGCAACGTTGAATGGCCATTACCAATACACACGTGGGAGAAGGTGTAGCGATAGCGCGGAGAGATACGGATAGATAATCCAGTACTTCTTTGTACACTATCGGATGGAGAGCTACTTTTAGGCTGTGAAAGTAGCGCGTTCCGGTTAAGGCTTGTCTGTGCACTGCTAGGGTTTTAGAGATCACTTGGATCACAAAATACAGTGTAGTGTAAAAGCCAGTGCACGAAAATGCCACTGATTGTGCCGAAAATTAAAAGGGGGAAAGAATGTTTTCAGTTACGTTCCACATGCTCGGACAGACTTCAGCCGTGTTGCCCGCCCCCACCCTGAGACGAGTAAACTAGAGCTCCGAATTTTTACAGTAAAACGATTTATATATGAACACATTTTGTAAAATAAATTATATTCCTGTGATTTACTAATGAAACACATTTTATTCTGACATTGTCCTATTTATTCCAGTTACATCATGAAGCTCAAACCGTGGTCGTCATTGCAGCAAGGGGTGGGGAAATTGGACAAGCTTCAGGTATTACTTTCTACAAAAATTTTGTGTTGAACGCATTTCATTCTGCACATATGAGGAGCAGACAATTCAGAATGAATGCCCGTCTGTGTAGTTAATCAACTTTGCTTACAATTTTTGTTGTTCAAGCATAAGATCTGTCTACATTTCAGCCAATTTAGCTGCATTAATAAAAGCAATTCAAGTCCTCACTCATATCGTTTAATTTCTGAAGTTGATAGCTGCCCCCCCCAAATAAAGATAAAGTAGAAGTCCTGGCCTCCTATGTGATCAATGAACGTAAGGCTACAGCGAACAAGCTCCTCCCTCCAACCTCTAAAATATTTATATTCTTACATTTACATAAATTCTTCATGTTTAAATAACATGTTCCTATGTTGAATCAAGGTAGCTATTCTATTGTGTTAAATAAATGTACAAATAGTGTTATACAACTCTTTGATTCGATCGTCAGGATAAGTTTTATCTGTCAGATTCGACCGTTTACCATCCCAGATATCTTCTCACATACGTCGTAACGGGTGTGTGGAGTAAAACTTTACAGCTCCATCAAAACATGTCTGTCTGTCTGTCTGTCGCGCTTGGCTTCAGTCTTTAAACGTTTAAATCCCATAAACGTGAATCACACACTGCAACACCAAGACCCACCGAGTGGACACGCACTCCTTGGCTGAATTTTTGTCAGTAATTTCAAGGCTGACGTATTCACGTAATCGTAACTCTGCAAACATTTAAAGAAATTTGTTTTACGAAGCAGTTTAATGACTCCTTGCTGCTTGGAGAATTTAAAAATGTCTATGAATCTGCTCTGTCCTTACGTCCGTTGGTTCTTCGGAATATTTCAGTCATTAAAGTATTTCATTCATCACAGCTATATTTAAGCAGAGTTTCCTCTCCACAGAAAACTTACTGTTTTACCCTTTCTTTAATAGCACGTATATAAACAGAATATTAGACAGCTATCTCAGTTAGATACCTGATAAATTACAAGTAATTTTCTATCTTTCCACATGCCTTGGAGAACCCAGGACCCTTCATGTAGGTAAGGTTGCGAAACTGTGTTTCTCGAAATTTGGTTCTCCGTGGAAGGGAATCAACCTGTCGCAAGGCCTCTACTGCACCGTAGACAAGCATTCTTGCCTTGAGAAGAATTCGAACCCACAACCACAGTATCATGAATGGGCAGAAGTACACCGGTTTCCTCTTACGAAGAAGTAGATCTTATGCCTAACAGACGCGATGAACAATGTTACAGGTTGTGAAATTATTTGCAAGATTTTAATTGCCAGCGGAAAACGTGGGCTAGAACGATTTGATTTCTGATTTGTTTCTTCCATGACCAGAGAAACTTTGCACTTTTCCAGACACTTTGATATGATATTTCATAGACCATTATTATAAACCGATGGGGGAGTAATTTCTTCAGAAGCAGATAGTATCTTGGCCGGAAAATAAATTCCCCGATAGTTGGATACTGTGTTCACAGACGTACCCTATAACTATCTTACCCCGTTGAATCCAATACGCAATATTCCTTTAAGATTCATATGAATGTTTTGCTATTATTCATGCCTACGTCTCCCAACTTCTTTCGGGATTTCCGACTAAAATTTTGCAGGCTTTTATACATTTGTTATCCCTCTCTGGCGATAGGCCTACATTTTCCGGTCATGTTGTCCTCCTTGATTCAAACACCATTAAAGTATTTACAGAAAGAATAAATTATGAACCTCCCCATTATGTAAGTTTCCTCCATTCTGACTTAAATGTTTTCTCTCTTAGATTCAATTATTCTTGTATGCACTTGGTCCACAAACACTTTAAATATTCTCACTATGTTCACATTAACATTATTTTTTCGTAGATTTATAGACGGGGCCAAAAGTAAATTCAGAAAAAACTAAGTACATGTTAGTATCTCGTCATCAGAAGACAGGCGGGCAAAATTATCTTAGGATAGCTAATAAGTCCTTTGAAAGGGTTACAAAGTTCAAATATCTGGGAACAACAATAACAAATCAAAATGACACTCATGAGGAAGTTAGGAGGAGATTAAATTCTGGAAATGCTCGCTACTTTTCAGTTAAAAGTATTTTGTCTTCCCGTCTGATCTAAGAACCTGAAAATTAAAGTATACAAAACAATAATCTTACCTGTTGTTTTGTATGGGTGTGAAACATGGTCACTCACTCAGAGGGAGGAACACAGATTGCAGGTGTTTGAGAACAGGGTGTTGAGGAGGATATTTGGGCCTAGGAGAGAAGACGATGGGGCGTGGAGAAAACTGCATAATGATGAGCTTATAATTCTGTATTCCTCCCCCAATATTGTCAATGTGATTAAGTCGAGAAGAATGAGATGGGCGGGGCATGTAGCGCACATGGATGAGGCAGAAGGTGTGCACCAGGTGTTGGATGGGAAGCCTGAGGGGAAGAGACCGCTGGGGAGATCTAGACTTAGATGGGAGGATAATCTCAGGCGGGATCTATGGGAGATAGGAGTTGAAGGAGACTGGATTTTGTTGGCCCAGGACAGGGTCCAGTGGAGGGGTTTGGTTAATTCGGTGATGAACCTTCTGGTTCGGTAAGCCATCTAGTTAGTTAGTTAGATTTATAGACAGGATAAGGAAAAATAAAGCCATTCAGAAATGGCAGTTCTCTGTCCTGTAAGTAACAAACTATATACGATAACATAAAATAGATTATAATTAGTATGAATCGAATTTTGTTTATAGTTTAAAAAGTTGAATAACTAAGTGAAGAGATCTTATTACTCGTAAAATTAATCTTTCCAAAAAATTGTCTTACACGATCATACTATTAGCGACATCTCTGAGTGCCATTTAACACAATACGAATAATAATGGATGCTGCATAAAATTTAGTCACAATACGAACAACACTGGCTCTTGCAGCTGCTTCTACATACGCTGTGCAGAAACTGCTCAAAGCTGAAAATATTTGTAATAATGGCAGAGGGTGTAAATATCCCCATTGTGTATGCAGGGCCGCACGTTTGGAGTCTAGTGTCATCTGGTGGGAACAAACTAAATTTCGTCCTCGAAAAGAGGGCGTGAGGTGGATGGCACGGGGTAGAGTGAAAGACATTCAGTTTTGACGGAAAATTTTGGGGATAAAGTGAGGGTGGGTTACGAATATGACTACAAAAGAAAAGTGGAGAACACTGATGATACACATACCACATCTTCCATGGGAGAGTTTCATTAACATCGTCTGCTGGTGATTACTACAAATTTTATGCAGGCAAACTGCTGGCCAGCTTCAACAAAATACACAGCAAAAAATTATTTCGTTCTTTTCATTCACAGACTTACTGGCAAAATATATTCATGAAATTTTACTAAGTCTGGCCAACTTTCGTGCCGAATTTGGGTGCCATATGTTTGCTAAGTCACGCAAATGAACATAAAATTGTTAGAACTAAAAATACATAGAAAATATGTCTATAACACTCAGAGTAGGAGTTTTCTAACTTGCAGGGTTTCATGAAATATTGTAAGGGTGATTAAACCAAGGAATAAATAATACGATATGTAAGAAGCACGGGAAAAATGAGTGTTGCATATAAAATTTTAGTAGGAAAACCTGAAAGAAACAGATCACGAGGCGTAGACGAAAGAGGAAAATTATAGCCAGTTTAAATAAATCCTGTATACAGGCGAATGTGATATGAGGGTATCGACTTGATTTAGCTGGCCATGTTAAATGGCAGACTCCATTGAATAAGGAAACAAAACCTGGAATTCATAAAAGGTCGCAACTTTTGACCAATTGGTCGACTATGAAAAAGGGAAGTTCCTTGGTTTCAGATGTTTAATTATTTTCCTTTAACAGAGCAAAAAGGTGTTGACCAATATTCCAAGAGAGGATTTAAATAAATTTTAATTTATGTAACATGCATTGGCCGGGATATCTCAGTCAGTAATCAACGGGCTGGACAACCGGTGTTCGAATTCCAGCAGGGTCAGAGACCTTCCTTCGCTACCACTTCCACACTGGCTCTGGGGACAAACCAGCCGTTTAAGAAAAAATCGCTGTTTTTTACTGATAATTATACAAGGCCCTTGAACACAAAATGCTCGGTTCCTGATTGTTAAAGCAGTGATACGCATAATTCCCACAGGGCTATAACGGGATAATAAAGTTTGATTTATACCTTACGAATGAGTAGGAGCTTTACCTCTGACACTAAAGTTTGATTTATACCTTACGAATGACTAGGAGCTTTACCTTTCTACAGAGTCTAAATGGCGCGTAGCGGGACAGTTTTTTATCGAAATAAATTAAAAGCCTCCTCCTACCTACTGAGTAATAAGAAGTATGTTGACTCCAATGACTGGAGTACGGAGAGATCGTTTCCTCATGGAACAGAACATCGCATACAAACGTATACAATCTGTGGAAATCACTAACAGGAAGATTTAAGGGATGAACAGCCCAGTATTTGTACAAAAGATCTGCACCTACAACTAAGCATAGATATAAGAGTTACGTTAAAATATAATTTTAAAAACACAGCTATAAGGGTGTGGGCTCCTGAATACGTCTGCCTCAAGATAGTGACCAGTGACGATCATCAAATCACCAAAATGATACTTCGAGTTCCGTACACAATGAGGAATTTTTGAGCAGCTGAAAGACGTTCATGGAGGTAGTTATAAATTTACAATTTGTGTGAAGACTTAAATATATATATAGGGTTGCATCAAAACAGTCTTTATTAAAACATTAGGTATTCAGATACAGAATTAAGGATCAACCAACAAACAAAATAAGACGAGTAGTAAATATCTACCAGGACAATTTCTGTCAATCCTGCCCTTGTAAAAAACACAGACCTACGTCTAGTTCAAACAATCGAAGACGTAGATTTTGTATGTTTAAAGTAAATCATTGACATTGTTAACGTTCTGCCAGTTTTATTTAAGGCTGCACTTCTATAGGCCTATAATCGTTTCCTATTCTTTTCTGTGTTCTACAGAAACCATTCATAATCCAATTAAATGCTATGATGTCGTTTACATAAGTTACTATCAATGAAACTTCATGTCAAAAAACTACAATGGTCACGTGTTGTATTAATAGAAATATACACGAGATCCATAACGCAATATGATATTCCGTCCCGAACAACAATGAATCTATCTGCAGGCCTTTCTGCAAAACTAAAA